TACTACGCATGAGAACGTTGAAGACATCCTGGGGAATAGCGTGTGTATGATAAGGGCCTGTCGAGACATGATGCGACATTTACGTCAGTGACACTGCGTTACACGACGGAAACCAATCTATTTGCAGCCGCGGACGGGGCTTTCGTAAACGGGCAAAATTTGAATCGATTCTAATTTTTACTTTTTATCTTTATCATTTTATAGACAATAGAACGTGACATTAAAAGCATATTCCGTGTGCACAAGAGCGTGACGTTATATAAACAAAAAAAAATCCCGTAGTATGTTTGAACATTGTAGCACCTGTTAGACCTTAAACGATTATATTACTCTTCAAAAATAGATTGCGAGCATTCCGTTTACACAACACGAAGCCGTATTGTTGATCCATATATGACCCTATTTAAAATAGCATGCGCTCTAGAAGAGAGTCGGCCGACTGTTTTTGACCGTACAGGATCGTACTTCAATAACCTATGCAAACCGCAATTGCTTTTATCATTTGGTTTAAAGCTATAAACTCGTTAATGTCGGGGGATTACGTCGGTTATTGCGTTCAGCAGAAGGGGTTGTCGCCTTGAAAGAAACAAAAAAAATGGCAATCACCTGTACGACAGCTGAATCGAGTAAAGCGCGAAGAGCCAATGCTGCATTGTTACTTCATTAGATCGATGTCTTAATAAAGCCTTGTCAGCACGGCTTTAAGGCCCTAGAAAACATGAACCATACCTAGAGCAATAAGATTAACATAATCACAAAATATATGTCAGACAAATGCGCTAGTTGTTTTGTTTAGACAACAAATCAAATGCCTATGGCGTTGGCAATTGCTAAGGCCAGTGAGCTTTTCATTTACTAGAAACATTTGGGTAGCAAGGCCTAAATATAAGCAGTAGATGGCGCAACAATCTATTGTAAACGAACGCTGACCCAGGTTGTAGACTGAATGCAATCAATTTTTCCGAAGATATGCGATTGTCAATTTAAGCTGAATCCACCATTTGTAATAACGAAACGAGAAAAAGAAGACTGCGACCCCATGCTCAATGGCGACTCTTGAGCGAACCGCCAAAGGCCTGTTCACGGCTGTAGAAACGACGAGATTGATCTCCATGATTGCAGTTATTATTTGGTCCTATAATAATAATGGCTGTTTGATCTAGAAGGATAAGATCAAGCTGCACTTTCAATGGCCCAAATTATCTATGTGAAGAATAAACAGGCGTACTCTGACTACTATCCTACCGATAATGTGATTTTTATCTATCAGGAAAACAATAACATTGACGGAAAAACAGGCCCTTGAATCATCTTCGTTAGATTTTCTCAACGGCAAATTAAATACGTAAATGCTGGTAAGCATCAAAATTAAGGCAAAAATAGTCCTGTTCATGAACACTAATGATAATTCGCGAACCCATTATGTTAACGATAGACAAATTGCTTGTAGAAAATATACTAGAGGGCAAATTTTTTGCAGAAACCTTCTTCGTATTTTTTGTTTGTATTTGTAGATAGATTGCATAGCAAATTATCTCAGAACCTTTTTTTTTTTTTTTTTTTTATTAGCGCTGTAAATCGTCAATGCCTTAGGCTGTGAAGCGTTTTCAAATGCACAATCCGTTAAAGCAGGACATAATTTTTTTATTACACAGTGCCAGTGCTACGTTGGCTGTGTAGGTATCAAAGGTCTAAGAAATTTTTACACTGAAATATTTTATTATTGATTGTCGAGCTAAGATATAAGTAAGGTATCCGTAGTAGTTGTATGAATGTGGAGACCTCCTGCCGTTGAAAAACTATATAGTAAATAATAATGGAAAATCAATACTATGCATATAGAAAGTCTAGGGCGTTAATCAATCCACGTGAAGTATAAAATGACGAACTTTCAAACCACAAAAATGAAAAAACGTTATTTAGAACATCTCTGATAGTATTGATAACGCCGTTTACATGAACTGTTTCTCCCTCTAACTTTTAATCAACATACTTTTATTATTTTACTCAGTAGTCCGGTTGCAGTCTCGAAATCGAAATAAGACCGTTTGTAATAAGGACAGGTTAAGGTTAATGTTTTCACCTATCCTACCTTCGGGCCCCGAAATACTAGTTTTACTTCTTGAAATAAACATTCTGCGGAATCGGTGCGACAGCCTCTGAGTCAGCTTCGGTCGGTGTGTGTAAAATGAACAAATATCAATGTCTGTATTTTCGTCGTGTGCTATTTTTAACACTTTTTAAACAGGCAAGTATTCTCTCTGTTTCGGCTTTTCAAAAAATGTTTTCGTACCCATTCAATGCCCTTCAAAAACAAATATTGATGATTTTTATCTTAATTATTTTTTGCATTATCGCATTGTTAGTCGTTTGTTCTCCCGGTCGTCCCTTCTCACTGACAATAGGCGTCCAGTATGTAACCTTCCCATGCCTTAAGGGATAAGGGGTTAACTAATGATGAGTTCATTTATTTTCATAAACCTGTTAGGTATATAGATCTATCGCATTTGTATTGTAACCGAAGTTTGAGGGATTTTGGTATGTTCCGTTTTACAGAATAAGAAGTAACGCTAAAGCATCTTCGGGCATTTAAGTTTCATTGATTGAGGTATCCAGTGGCTTTAGGGGTGGCGCCATTTTTAAACTTTCATTAGTCGGTCAGTTGGCGTATTTATGCTCGAGGTTTGAAATCCGGGTTAAAAAATAATTTTGCTCAGTCAGAAATCACGTCAAAGTTCTTTGCCACACAGTGACCTGATGTTGATAAGATGGAAAAAGACGATACGGTACTGATTTGTATCTGGCCTGTGGAACTGGAACGCGAGACTTTATGCTATCAACTATCGCCCTAAACGCCGTAATGCTGATCAAGTATATTATCAAATACAAGGTTTTCAATTAGCGGTGCAGCTATACCATTGTTTCTTGATATGCAGGATATTTACAAAGTGTTTGAGACGTATGAGCAACTACACAAAGTTTTTATTTATGGCGGTATTGAATATCTGTCTAGTTTAAACAGTCTACTTAGTGCTTACTTTCACTATATTGTACCTTTAATCAAACTGATAAAGGAAAAATTCTGTAATTTTAAAGATAAGGATAAAAGTTCTCCAAAGGCCTACAAAACCTCTAGCGGTTTTAATTAAATTTTCTATGCAAAAAGCACCTTTTTATAAGTTATCTCTTCCAACTTTCACTTATCTTGAATATATATTAGTGTTTAAATCACTCTAAGAAAGAAAAACGAAGCTAAAAATCTTCATAGAAACGTTAAACTTGGAACAGTTCCGAGCTTATTTTTTGCGCTTCTTTTTGAACGCTCTATTTAAAATCAGGCAATTTATATGAAGCAAGCGATGCAAACAAGAAGCTAAAGACGTTTCCAAAAATAAAATTATCATAAATATATTCATTAGGAGAAACAGCTGAGAGAATTATGCGTTGGAACGGTCTTCCTAACTTTAGTCTACTCAGATGATATTCCTTTGTTTTTCAAATGACTATGCCCACACGGCAAAGTAAAGCCACCTATCACTGTCGCAAAGCTAGGGCACTGAGACTGCCTTCATTATGAACTACCGTTACAGAGACTGTCCCTATAAGACTTTCTGTACCACAGTAACATTGAAAATGTGGCACTGCACTAGACAGTCCGCTAGAGACCGCGAAAGACGAACTAGACACACAACAATTATAGACAAGTTATTTATTTTTTATTGAAACATCCTAGTTTAGTTTGCGTGTGAAAATTTAGCAAATAACGCGTATCGGCAAACGCTGCAGGATACAGTAAAACTTTTAAATTATTTCCCTTTTTGTATTATGACTGTTTTTCTTTGGTGGCTTATTGCGACGCATTGTAAGCTATGTCCAGGTGTTTTAACCCTTTGCCCTATAAATGCAACCTGTTATTATTATATATCACACAGTTATTAGTATCACAACTTGGTAAATTTTTAGTTATTATAACACACGTGGAAACAGAATTTTACTTTCAAAAACTTCCTAAGCTAGGCCTTTTTCAACAAAATGATACAGATTTTTGGTAAGAGAAAAACAATACGTATACATGACGAGTGCAGACTGTCGTATCGCAGCTCGGACGGCGAAGTTATCCACTAATGAATTTCTGTTGTTTACGAACACTGCCCTTTGTATATCAAAGTTTAGATATCATTAGTTTTTCGACGATCAACGCCTGAGCTCAACAAGCGAAATGGGGTATTTGGCTCAGCTGAGCATGGCGACGTAGCCAGCCGCCACTCATCTCTTCGGTACCGAGCAGTCAGCTATTTTTCACATAAAAAACTATCTCTGAGCAATCAGATTGGTGAGTGCGCATTTTAAGCTTTCCCTGCGGACACCTCATTCACTGCACCTGTCTTGAGAAGTCTTGTTACCAAAACGTATCGATTTAGCTTAAGGCGTTTACTCGAAGATCGAGCGTTTATATGATCGATTCACTAGAAGCTATGTATCCTAATAATTTACCAAGGAAGTTCAGAGTGAAGACACCTTACACGTTGTCATTGCGATAAACAGGCTTATTCGACCTTTTTTTGTCCTAGACAAAAAGCTATTGCTGGCTATTGTTGAAGACAGTTGAGGGTATGAACACATTAAAGTGCTCCGATCCCGTGTCCTAGACATTAGCTCAATAGATGTCGGTAGGGTAGTTTTGAGTGCGTAACACACGTGCTTCAGAATAGACTTGCCGTTAAAGACGCAAATAATTATCCATATTGACCTATAGCCCATTTTAAACTTTCTGAATGGACAGCTCTGTAGGTTCTCGCTTTTTCCATATATGCTAGTACTCTATATGAATATGTTTAGAAAACCATTAAACCCTTGCTTTTGGGAACGAGAGCATTGCAGTCTTAAAAAAACAGTTGTTGTAAATGCTGTAATAAGGACATATTTAAAAAAAGAATTGTTCTTTCTTTATTTGTTCTTTAGTTAAAAATTGCAGATTAAAAGATTGTAGAGAAGTTACACCTATATTATAAATTTCTTGCATAAATTTAAACTAGCTAACAATGCGCTGCCGCTGAATTTAAATGAAACAAATATAAGACCGTTGTGCCATATGCTATAAATTATATACTTCCCCAAATAGTCCTATGAGTGTTCGTAATATTATGGAGACTAGTAATAAGAACACTTGGAATCGATCGATGCAAAAGAAGTTCATCGTGTACAGCGTGCCCTTAGCAGGTCGAGAAGCAGTACTTTAGCACCACCACCTTCATTGATTTTTGCTCTACAGTCGACATAGTTTTAAAGGTTACCGGTTTTAAAGGCTTTTCAAGCTAGCCGGCACTAGACTGCCAATCTCTTCAGGACACAAATACTTGTTTTCATGGTAGTTCAAAGTGATCGGAGTAAACCAAATTGGGAAACGTGTCTGTGGCTGGCTTCTTGTAGGCTCCTAACATTCAGTACCGGTCGCTATCATCGCCAGCAGGCCAGACTGACTATGCCTAAACTAAAGTAGCTACGTACATCAGCTCGTTCACCCACTTAAAAATGATGCTTAGTCGACCCTTCAGAGAATCGAAGGTTGTATTTTTCGTATCCTATGAAGTTTCACTGATCTTGCAGTATTCAGCTGTGAGCAGAATATTCTTTTTGAATATCAGGTAATGATGTGTAAAGAAAAGGGACCAAAAAGATCCTACTACTCTTAAAAAAAAGATAGGCCGATATTAAAATATTCAGTACGCTTTGTTTTTGGCGCATCAGCATTGACATTTTAAGGAACAATATCAATACATGACTCCTTTTTTAAACCATGCACATTATAGGTTACGTTGTGCATCAAATTCGTATCATCTTCTCTACTTCAAAAAAAACACCCTTGCTCCATGTTTGTTTATAGTATATTCTTCCGAATATAATAATAGTCGGAGCAAGTCAACTAATTTATAATTGGGTGTCGCGTGACTCAGTTCATTCTTATGTTTAATTTTCTGTTCTTTTAATCAGAGCCGACTGCTCGAATGGTAAAGTGATAAACGTTTTATTGTTATTGTGAAATCCTCAAAAAAAAAGTACTGCAAATACTATATATATATAGGATTTCAGAAATGCTGAAATAGACGGAACCCACGCTCTGTATACAGTTGTTCTAAACACCAAAAAGCCGAAAGCCGTAATAACACCAAGTCCTTAAAACAAATGAATTAGTGACTAGAAATACGGCACGTGTTTTTAAGATTCAGCTTCCCAACGCATCAGTGACATAGGTCAATTGACGAACCATCCAAGAACATTAGAGTCACAGTGCAGTATAATTTTATGTCTTATGGCACATCGCAACATACAATATCCACTTAATGCATGCATTGTAGCACGGTAATGATTTGATTGAAATACCAGCAGGAATGATAGCAGTTATCCAGAGAAAATTATACGTTGCGTGTACAGTCCGCTATTGACAAGATGTTGTCCACGGAGCTTTTTTCACTCGTGGGAAGTTCTGGCGACGGCGGGGGGGGGGAGGGGGTGGTGCATCAAAATGACCGACAAAAGCAGAAATATATAATAGTTACTGTGGACATTACCGTGTGACGGTGAGATGTCATCTGTTGATGTCAAACACTGACGGGTTCGTTCGGCGCAATAGTCGACCTAGCCAAATAAATACGAAGGAGCAATCTGTACTACTAGTAGTGTTCGTATGGCTAGCTGAAGAAGCGCTCATTTTTTGCTCATTGCCACCTGTCAGCAGAAAGCCATCCTCTATTTCAAAAGGATCTACCAAAGACAGGCGTATTGCGTACAAAATCCTCATCCCTCACACTCTCACCTATTATGTTACAGAAGTCTGGTTTGACCTGGTCGATCGTCCATGCGCGCCCCTTGCCGCAACGACGCAGTAAAGGAAGCAGGCAATAGGCGAGCATAATACCATCAGGCTAAGAAAAACTTTTATAATGCTATCCACCACATTACCACCGAACCAATGTTAAGCTGCTGACTGCTGAAGTTAATGCGGCCCTGAGCGAAGGTGAGGCCGCACGACAGCCGAGGCAGTGCGCTAGTGTCAACGGTGCAGCGGCTAACGCTATACACGTCGACGACCAGGACATACATAAGTAATTTATACAGATATACACTCTCTCTGTTTGTGCGGTGAGTGAAGGTTTACATGTGTGCGTGTGCGTGTGTGTGTGTGTGTGTTCCAGTGTTTAGAAACGAGCGGGACGTCCGTTGTTATCTTTGTTTGTATCTACGTCTGTTTCGGTCGGTGCGTCAAGGGACCTGACTGCATAAATAGAACAGAAGAGCTACGCAACGGGCAACTACGCCGATCTGCTGTCCGTAGGATTGACTATTGAGCTGAACCGAGTCGTTTAATTTATAGAAGTCGATACGGAAAAAATCAACTATAACCACAATTATTGGAACTAGAACCAATAAGCCGTTGTCACTATTTTTGCTCTATTTTTGAAGTAAACATTTACGTCAGTGAGCTTCGATCCTAGCTGGCAGTTGCACCGACCGCCACCGTGTTAATTAATGAGCGTTACCATCCGCTATTCCAATGACTTATAACAGAAATGTTAACAGCAACAGCATCTGAAATTATTGCTCACTAACGCTGAAGGCAGCTGAAGGCGGCGGCAAATGTGGTCAGATTTCGTTACTCCGAGTTGCAGTACGTCATTGTTCTTGGCTAATCTGAACACCAAATAACCGCTTGGATAATGCTGCCTAGTATTAAGACATCGGAGCAGCAGCTTTTCAAGAAATAGAAAAGGAAAGTCCAATGGTTTAATGTCCACAGGAACGTGTTAATCGAAGACGGAAGACTGTGAAAATATACAGAGCTAGGCCCATACAGCAAATGTGAAATAGGTCAGTGACTGCTTAGTGTGACCGGTTTTACCTAGAACTTTAGAACATTCTAGGTACAAAGTTTTGCATAAACCTTCGAACGCTTTTTGGGGTAGGTGATAGTGTATTTACTGTATGCGCATAATGCTGGGCTGTGACGCTGACTTTTAGCGGGCTATCGTATGCTTTGAAAGTACCTTAAGAAAGTCAATTCCAAATGCTCGAAAGTAATATATTTTAACGCTATATGTAAACTAGACGAGTAGGATGAGTCTGAATCAATTTAACGCATCAGGCCGGAAAATAGCTGGGTATCAGAGCGGAACTTCAAAGTTTCAGGAACTGCAATGAGTCGAGCGTGCGTCAGCAAGGCATAAGAAGAACAAGTGAAATTTACTGTCATTCTCTAGTTGATCAGGTAATCTCTTGCCTTTTGTCTTTAATACATACTTCGCGCTTCATGCTTGTACAGCGGACTTGCGATAATAGTTACGTGAAACGGTTCAAGCTGAACCCCAGTAGAAATTTCTGAAACAAATAATGATGAAGTTGTTAGGAAAAACTGGATATTTCAAGGCTTGCCAAGAAGCAACAGCCCTATGTAGCTATACATATTTGCATATATACGGTTACTGAATGGGGACCTGCAATTTGGGCTAATATAGGTCGGTTTAGGGAGATCAAAGATGGTTTCTGGAGTTAGGACGGATATTTATGATTTATATTGCCATAGCTTATTTACATAATATCGAAGTGGTTATCACTTCCCCTAAGATAGCTGGAACATGCATATCATGATTTGTTATTTTCATCTAAATATCGGGGCATGTTAAAAAAATGATCGAGTTGATAAAAACGTTTATAGCTCGCCGTACCCGTAATGGCAGTCTCCGTTGTTTAATCAAAGCTTGGCCGTTGTGAAGCCTCTCGTATAGACCCTCGTTGTGGACCTCAAGGATGAGAAGCTGTCTTTCAATGGGATGTAGACTCAGAAAGCAGTCAGCTACAGGCATTTTTATCTCTATAACAACAATTGCTATTGGGAAAACAAAGAAAGGGTAGCATTTTCATAATCCACTAAGGCACTGCTGTCAACATATTTTCAGGAAGCAGCTAATTGTACCTTTCGGTTTCTTTCTCTTTTTGCAAATGACTACAATTTAATGCTATTAGTAAAACAAATGATCTTCACTGTCACCTTCAAACAGAATATTCAAATCTATTGATTGGAGACAGCTGACGCCAACACCCGAACCAGTCGTTGCAGGAAGCAACGTTCCTGCCATGCAGTCCAATATACAGGAGGTATTTTTTTCGAGTGGACTTTTAGTTGACGTAATCACGCCGTAGGTAACAGCAAGCAATCAAGCCGATTCTACCTCGTAGAGCTACGGTATGATTGAGCTGGAAAATCTATTTCATGTATTGATATTTCTGGCGTCGACTACGCTAAGACAGGTTTGCGCACGGTGCTTTATTGGCCTATCAACATTTTGAATTTATCGTTTCGAATGAAGCTACAGCTTTTTATCAAAGATGACGGTTTAGTATTTTGTCCTAGTTATAATCTTGAATAGGAAATTTCTAAAATAATAATTCATTATTTATTTTGCTTACTTCAGAAAGAATAAGACGTTGTCCAGAGTTTCGAAATGGGTTTGGAAGATTGACTACGTTTAACACCGTGGACGATTGTAACTTCATTAGCAGCGTTTCAACTATAGATTACATGGAATTGTCTGAAGTGTCGTTCAGAATAAAAAGTTGTCTGCAGTAACCAGCAAGGTTAATTATTTTGTTTACAATTGAAGTGGGCATCGTTGAACGTTTTGTCTAATTCTGACACGTGCAAACTTACATTTCCTGTATGACTTCTTTGGTTTTTGCGCTTGTTGCTTTTCCCCACAATCCCAAACGGCAGAAAATATATAAAATTCGGAAGAGTAGATGGCTAGTAGTATCCGCGCAGGTCTCTGAGCGGACCTGCGGGCGTTTTGAACCATCCCGCACGGCTGTTTTCATTGATTTTTTAGCCAAGGTTCCACATTTTAACCGGCGAACAACGTTTTAGCTTATAGAAACTTGTGTTGTATCAAACAGAACTACTTGTGTTTAACACTGACTAATAAATACGATAGCCGTCTAAGTTATATACGACATATAATTCGAGCGGATTAATAACAATTTTCTCACATAGTAGATTTACAGAGAACCGCAATGATCAGTGTCAGCCATCGTTAAGATCGGTGGTCTTAGCGGAGTCACGATCACAACAATTTATAGTTTAATGATATTAACGGCTGTAGGTAAACACTTTCAAATGCGTCATTGCTTATATGGCGTCTGTGGACAATTACCGGGCGTTTAATTAACTAAATCCATTACACCGAACCCCTTTCCGAAAAATGTCTGGGAAGCATTTTGAGGAGCACTACTATCAGTCGAATCTTGTTCATCCGATCGTCGAAGACCAGGCGGCAAATTGTGGAAGTTAAGTTGAATGTCACCGATTAAAAATCCCTGCTCCACGTATGTTCGTGCCAAGTATACCCTGTTCCGTACAGCGACCGGTATTGAAGCCGATAGCGGTATCCAATTCCGTGAAGCATTTGTGATTTTGCTAACAGCATCTGCCTCACTCTTATGGATAACTCGGGCGTTCACACGAATAATTAATTGAGAGACGGCCCTAGAATTGGGAGTGGCAAAACTTCGTTCGAACGAGCTCTCCGAAGTGATCTAAATGCAAGAGAGATGGGGTGCAAACTGAGAGCTAAGGAATACAGACAGAACATAAGGTGCGCCACGGGTCTACATACAACTTGCATAACATATTAGACCGAACAAAAATTTCCCTTACATGGAGACCTCAAGAAGAGGAATGATCAAGAAGGATTAGTCGGTAAAAGACATCATGGTCGAGCGTGATTTCGGTTCTGTGATAATCTTCTATATAGCAGAAATTGCACACTATTTTAATGACTGTCCTACTCAGTAGCATACGGCTTTTTTTTTAACTTACTAAAAACAAAGCTATCTAGCGCTGAGGAACCCATCCAACCCTGCTACTATTACGAATTTCGAACACGAATCGTATTCCGCCGGGTCGAGATCTACGGAATAGGTCTAGGCGCGAAGAAACGTTCAACTAGGCTTTTACAATGACTGTATTAAGGATTTTTGCTGACATTTTTGTGATAGTGACTGTTTTGCTCATCAAATGTCTTCTCCTACATACTCGGCTGGCTTTCATACAGGTCTTCTTCTTCTTAAGCATTTCCCCGTGCGTAAGATTTCCTTGCCTACCAAACGCAAATTATAGTTATGAACTACCCATTCATTCTGTTTGCTTCATATCGGCGTAGAGAGACAATTTTTTCCCCGTTCATTTTTGTAAACGGATTTATCACTGAGGTTGCGCTTTGCCCAGGACCGGAAGAGATGTTCAATGATAATGAGAAGCCCTATTTCCTCGTGGGCTTGGTTCCGTTTGTAGGAAATCCAGACTTCTGATATGCGCTTTATCCGAAGTCCCCAGCGACCGCTGATAGCTGACAGGTGTAAGGTGCATTCTTTGACTGCCCGATTTCATTTTGAATTTATTAAACCCGTCAGAGCAGTCCGAGCAGTAAATGACAGAAATATTCTAGGCTGATTGATTTCGACAGAGGGCAAGGGAAAGGTGGCGTGGAAGATCCATTTTCCTTTCCATTTAAAACGTTGGCACTTGGAGCTCGAATTTAAGTTAAAGTTCCATTCACCATAAGGAAAAGTAACAACGTCTTCAAATAGCATAGAGAAGTAAATAGACAGTAGAAAAGTACATTTGTTTTGTAGCAGTCGTATCGTCTTTTTTTTACCCCACTTCACTATGCAGCCTATTCCGTAGCGGTAAATGTATTATTTTTAGTTAATCTTTGGATACGGTTCGATTTTTGAGGGTGTGGGAAGACAAACTGTAATATCCAAAAGGCCAACCTAGTAAACTTGAAGTTCATACATGGTAAATAAATTTACGCTAATAATATTAAAAAAAAAAAACAGTTCATAACAAAACCGTGGCTCGAAACTAAACAAGCTGCATCTTGTTACTGACAAAATTAGCGAACTCGTAAAATATTGTTATTGATTTCTTTTAAGGCCATTATAAAGATGCTTAGTTCAATTCGAAGCAGGTTTTTTTTTATACCTTTGTATAAAATAACGTAATAGCATATGTATACCTGCCTATATGTCTGTATCGGAGATTATCAGATGAATGTGTTAAATAGAGCGACCTTGTACAGATGTTTGGCAAGATGTTCCTGACCAGTAAGTGCATTGCTATAATCATTACAAATGAAAATTATTACATGTTTTTTCGATGTCCGTATCTGCTGTTTACCCCCCACCTCACGACCTTGGGGCATCTGTGCAAGATGACATATTAGCATAGGCATAAGCTCTTAACCGGCACCTCCTTCAGTAAAATATGACACACAAAATCTGATACTGTGTGATGTGGTACAGCAACAACGTTTGTTGAAACTATTAGTTCCATGTTAACTTTCTAGATGTCGCAGCGACGAACTTTTTGTCGAACTTCGCATCTACTTAGATCATCCGCCATCCACTGTTAATCGAGTCCCGCTTAGCTCCACCAGACTATACCTAAATATGACTACGATTCATCCATTGTTACGTATCGAAACCATTCTCAGTTAACGCGTTCCTAACGAAATTTTTCGTCCGTAACTTAAAACGAAAACTACTACAATTCAGGACAGGAATACTTCGACTGCGTAGCTTTGACAAATTTCAATGGCGCTCACCAGGATCCTTATCTGTTTGTCGCGAAGATAAATCTTCACTATGGTACTTGAGTCATCAATTTTTCGTTTACAGATCTGCGTACTTAGCAAGTCATGCGCAATTGAGCTATGGCGTTCTGCGTTTCAGTTGATAAATGTCTGGTTTTTCCGAGGCAACCACCGGAAATTTGCTAAGAAACCGTCCTGTTGAAATAAATATAACCCAGCATGGGTAGTTACACAGACACAGATTTTGCGAATACCAAAGGGGGCTTGAAACGTACTGCAAGTCCTAATCATATAAAAGTTGAAAACTTCATTCGGACATGGTATAAACGAAATATGGAGCGGCGAAATATAATTTGAAGCTACATGCTATCTTCTTATAGAGCTACCGTTTCGACAGTAACGGTGACTGTATTCTACTTTACAAGGTCTCCATCTAATTTTATAATTTCAAAACATATATTTGCAGTACAACTCTAAAGGGTTTATAGTTTAAGTACAATGCTTATTATGTGGTAATGAACGAGGGTATTTCGGTCGATTACAATTTAGTAATAGTTATACCCCTGCGACAGTCATTAGTTCGGCCGGTCTGGTTAATAAGTGGCAACAAGTGAAACCAGCACATCTCGTGGTCTATTTCAGTGAGTTTCTACTGGCATCAGGTCTTCTTTTGCTACAATCCTATCTGTCCGTGCAACAAAGCAGGTAATGCCGTTGTTGTTTCTGACCTAATCAGAAGTGCGCGAACGACCGCCACTCCTTAGGTTTGCGCCGAGAGAGACATAGAATACGATCGACGAAATTTTTGCAATAGAAATTGATTCGACGGTTAGAACTACGACTACAGGACGGCATATCTCACTCCGTCGGCTAGAAGCGTATAGATATTGCTATACGTAGTGAGCGTATGCTGTCGAGTACCTTACAGGCATGAATAGTACCAAGGATACTTCATGTCCTATTCTTTATATATGTCCGTTCGTAGTTAAGACTTGCCGCGTTGAGGTCGTTCATCTCGATGGCTACCATCCTCGATGATGACCTTGTCCGTCTTCGTGTCCTTCGGCCAGTTACGATCGCTTTACCGATTTTTTTTGGTTGCCCGCATTGATATCTCTCTTTTAAGGTTCTCATTGTTCGCGTAGTAAACCGCGAAAATAAATAATGACATGATAAGCTATGAGAACAAACGTATTATCTGAGGCTTCGTATTTTGTTGACGAAGGTGCTTGCTTGCATGCATTATGCTTATTAGTAACTGTAAAATGTACTATGATATTTAAAGAAGAAAAAAAAAACGTATTGATAATTAGCTAAACCTAAAACATGTTGAAAAATCTAACATCTTTCAACTGGGTTTCCTTTTGATGCCGCCTGGCCATCATGGCATTTCTGCTTGGAATTTGAAATAAAAATATTCTTCTTTTCTTACAGCGCTCGAAAGCCGGACTCGCTATTACTGCGACAACGATCCTTCTACTAAGCACATTTAAAAGGTGTCGCACCATGGACAACCCCACGCTAAATCTTCAGGTACAGTTGCGGCAATAATAACAACTGTCATTGTTAGTACTATAAAACTTTCGATACTAGCAAACATTTCGCTAGTACTATCCAAGGGGCTCTAAGGGGAACCCAACAAATGTATACGCCAAACATTCGTTATTATTACTATTTAGCTATATATTGAGTACTATCAGAAGAAAAATAGCCATTCTCAAGCACCTAAAAACTAACTTCGTTTAGCTAGTTCAAAGCGTTCGAACTGCATTCAAAGCTTCATTGATTTCACTTAACGTACTGAGACTACGTACGAAACGTATGTTTGTGAAGCACTGCCTGGTTCTTCGCATACATTTAATTGGTCCTACTGAATATTGTCGCGTGACAGTTATGCAAAGGAAAAGACTTCAGTAGCAAAAGCACTTTCGGCAAAGGTCAAGGCACCTTGACGTCACAGGCTTCCTCGATAGCCCTCCAGCCGCCAACGAAGCGCCGTCTCATGGCTGTTACTGGGTGTGACAACCACCTGGTGTTCGCTCAACGATAAAAAAAAGCTTACGCTTTATCTATTAATGACAGTTGAATCGTGACTATAGACGGCTAGCGAATATAGTGGAATCATTAAATATATATATATATATAAACGGTCTCTAACAAAGGGAAGCAGCGATTGCTATTTTTGTCCTGTTAATCCCTGGAGTCTGATATCATATATGTGAGAGAATTTTTAAAATATTTATATATTATATTATACACTTACTAACGTATTCTAATGAAACATTTGCAGATGATGATCCGAACACGTAATATTTATTGTCTAAGTATCTCTTACATTTTCGAGAAGGCAACGCCATAAATTCTTGCTAATGCCTCACTATTATAAAAGCAAATGAATCTGAACAGGCATTTTTCGACAATTGTCTTCGCGCAGTTTTACCTATAACTCAATTCGTTTTAAGACATAAACTTCATTTTAAATAGGTACTTCGTATTATTTTCATTTCCTAATTGTTCAGTCTTCAAGACAAATGGTAGCCACTAAATCTTACCGTGAAGGAAATCATCAGATCGAGATGCTGACAGCTCACTCATTTAATTTCAAGCATGATGTTTCAACACATAAGAACCAAGTACCGATCTGTTCGGCATATATAGGCCGTATACGGATTTTGCAATAATTGATTTATTTCTTAGCTTTCATAGGTCCAACGTCGGCTGGCTAACGGCAGGTAGTCGTACTGGCGTCAAAATATGCCGATATTAACAGATGAGATTCTGTTACGCATCTAGACAATTACCTACGCCAGAGTTTCCATTGCAAACTGATCGACCTAAAGTAGTCGCCGGAATGACTTAACAATAACCAATGCGATGACCATACTGAGATTCGAGAAATTCCGCAACGGTAACAATGTCTACAGGTTATATTGATGACTAGGTATTTGTGACGGGGACCTATAGTATTTTCATATGCTGTGCTTGTTGTTCTATATGTTTTTGTAGGCTATGATTAGGACAACTAAATTTGATTGGTGGTCCTACAATGGCGGTCCAGTGTCAGTGAAACAGATGCGGGTATCGGAAGATCGCTTAGCTAGATAGGATTAACAGAATTCGTACTAAACACTGTCTATAATTCTCCGCAAAGAGAGGCAGTGGAAGCTCAGACGAAATTGATTATGGTTCGTGTCATTATTAGCAGTCAATAGCGCCATACGTTCGGTAAACTAGCTTGAATAATTTTTTTTTTCTCTATTTCATCTACTAGATACTTTATCAATTCCTATTAAATGTTCAATAGCAATAGCGTGTTGAAAGTAGAAATCGAAAGAATTGCTGCGAGCTGCAACCTACCCATATGCAACGATAACTTTAACTGGTAAATGATCTTTATCTTCTAATTGTACTCTTTGTAAGTCAAGTAAAAATCATTTAAACAAAAAAAAATTGAGCGTAGTGACGTTTTCTCGATGGGAATTGTAAGGGCACCAGTTATCTTCGGATGTTGTTTTCTGTTCGTAAGCCCGACCAAAGTAATCAAAAAAAAGTTAACCCTAGTTCTCGCCTAAGTTATAACTACATCGGACTTACTTGGCTTGATCAGACAGCGAATAATTATAGGAACTATTTCTTCACAAATCGATGATGTCACTGCTATTTTTCAGCTCTACGCAGACGAACAGATGCGCCAATAATAATAATATACGTTGGTTACTTGAATAGATTGCTATTTATCTAGGTTTCCCATCGCAGAGATACGCGATCCCAATGTCGCCCTTCAGAATCGATAGGAGTACTACGTACAGCGTGTTGGCACTTAAGAGTAAAATTATGCTTTATTTATAATTATGTTATTTACAAAACACAAGTTTGCCCGTAGACGATTCGGCAGTCATCGGTAGAACAGTCAGTTTAGTCATCAGCTATCCACGCTGATACTCCACGCGTTGACGACTTCTCGGATAGACATTTGCCCGCATATGTCTCCACTGCATAAAGGGGAACGAATTACTTCGCGGGCTGGTTAACAGCTCCCCAGATATTTTCACCCTTTTTAAGCGCTACAAACTGTTGCGAGATTTCAATCGCGACACGTGACTGAGCCTCCTTTGTGCTAGCGCCCAGATGCGGCGTACAGATCACCTTCGGGTGGGCGATGAACGCCGTATTTTTTGGTGGTTCATCTTCGAATACATCAAAACCAGCCCCGGACGCTTGTCCCGATTCCAGAGCGGTAAGCAGATCATCCTCATTGACAATGCCGCCACGTGCGCAATTGACGATTTTAACGCCTCTTTTGCACTTGTTTAGTGTTATGATGTTAATGAGATTCTTCGTCTGAGGAATGAGCGGTGTATGGACAGTGATATAATCAACCTGCGGCCACATTTCGTCCAAACTCATCGACTGGACACCGAACTCGGCCGAAACAGATGCTGGAATGACTGGATCATAGCCGATCGTGCGCATACCGAATGCCTGCATTCTGGTGGCAACCTCCCGGCCAATACGGCCCAGGCCGACGATTCCTAGCGTCTTTCCATTGAGCTCATTACCCATGAACGCCTTACGGTCCCAGCGGCCCGCCTTGAGAGAGGCGCATGCTGCAGTTAGATCTCGAGAAAGCGACAGAATGAGTGCACAGGTCATTTCGGCAGCCGCCAACGTGTTGCCTCCGGGAGCATTGATAACCAAGATTCCGCGCGTACTCGCAGCGTTACAGTCAATGTTGTCGACACCCGTTCCGGCACGACCGATTACCTGCTAGGCCAATATCAGTGCCATATATATATATACTTGAAAGGGTACTTTTGAAATCACTACTGCTGCTAATGCTATAAAATCAGAGTATGAAGTCTTTACTAGAGTATTTTTATCCGAGTAATTAACTTCGCGGATTATGACGCTCATTTGATCACGTAATCGTTAGAAAGCGATACATAAATTTCAATTCTAAATGGCAAAATAGCGTTTGACTGTTTTATGGCTCGTCTAAGTGTAAAGATCTTTAAACGGCTATAAGTCTATTAGTAGTTCGATCTACAATAATGATCGCAGATGTACTGTTTCATTTGGTAAGTAATGCAAAACTGTGTTTGAAGATGATTCGCTTTTTTCACAGTTCGCAATGGTGGAAATGCAACTGATTGCAACAAAGTTTAACTTCCATAGAGCGAAGTTCTGTAAATCAATAGGTTTATAAGTATTATTACGACATTGGCAAAGAGCCCTATACACGCTGTAAAAGATATTGTCAATCAATCATAGCCGTCCAGTCACCATTGAATGCAGCAAAAATATGAGCGGAGGAGCAAACAAAGCAGTGAACATATATGTAATTCAATTAACAAGAGGGGCCAGCCTCGAATTGGTACGCTTAATCCAGTATATATTAATGTTTTCTTTTAGAAACAACTAGTTAGCTTAGATATATGTGTAACCGAGACTACCAACCTTAAGCTTCGTACCGGCATTGATAACTTCGGAAGTAACCTTCGTTGCACTGCGGACAATGAGCGCATCGTATTCCTTGATAGCCTTAATCAGCTGCTCTTTTGTGTGGTCGGTCTTCACCGTTACTTCGCATCCGGCCTGTTGAAGTATGTCGGCGCATCGGGGATCGCACGAGTCGCTGATGAGAACCTTATTAATTTCCATTTTGCTGTTGGCGGCGTAGGTTCGAACTCACTACGAACACAATGAAAAATAAGACCGGGCTTTCGTGCTGATGTCGCTGCTAATCGAGCTAGCTAGCAACTGGGTCGTCGAACATGGGCAAACGACGAGCACATCTCGTTGTAGCTATTTCGGCGTTGATACGGCTATGCTACGTTATTCCAGCGGTCAAAACAGACAGCCAGCCAGCGGAGAGGGAAGAAATCATGGTAATGAGATAGAAGACGTCCTCGAAGTGAACCACCGTTTGAATTGACGCGCCATTTGGCCTTAAGAGGGACTGATTAGCACTCCACACAATTACAAAAGAACAACTACCAAGGAGTTTTGAATATATATATATATATATATATATATATATTATCCGACGTGTAAATATTTTATGTAAGTTTTACCTAATTTCTATCAATAAACCATAAAGTACGTAAGTACACATAACTAGAAGCCAAACACAGTTACGCAGGTATCAAGTCCATAATATGCTTCTTTTCATTATCACTATGGTCATTATCACATTTTGGCGTATTTTGCAATGACTCATCACACTCTTTTCCTTTATATCGAAAGTTATTAATCGATATTTATTATCTACTACTATTAACTAGCTCAGGGAAATGATACGTGACAAGATTAGGTCCTCAATATGTTAGTGCTTCAAACCGTTAACAAGGCGTACGTTGTATTTTACTCAAATTGTTTCTTGCAAGGACCTCTGGGTTAGACCGTATGATTTACCGTTTTTCGTTGGTTGGTCACATTTGAAAATCGACTTGTTCTCTGTCCGCCCACGGTTATTGCGTCAGTGAGACCTGAATGGAGCTGGTTTCTCCTCGCAGCAATATGGGCCTACCGCCCATTTGTGACGGGTCGTTGACAGACGCATTACAAGACAGGTTTGTATAAGTGCGTTTCGGTCTGTGCGTGTGTGTCTGGAAGCGGCTTCACGTATAAAAGTGCTGGAGAGTGCAGCGCTGAATCAGCGACCCGGAGGCACAGACAGACGATGCAGTCAATAGAAGACAATTTGCTGTTAATAGAAGAGTGCCAATAATTACGAGAATGATATGTAACCCTTACGGCAGAGACCGAAGGTATCAATACTACCCTTGACTAAAGTTCGTTCTGAGTGGTGGCACTGCGTACACGGGATCAAATAAAAAACACAAATCAATGTAATTTCTGTAACTTGTTTGAGTTATACAATTGTTATCATATGCGAGTGTTAATTCAATATTGTCATTATGCTATCTACCAATTATAACGATACAATTATACCCAGAAAACAAATACATATACACAACCGTTGGATAAGGGCTGACCTCGTGGAAAATGTGTCAGCTTAGATGCTTTTTTGATGATAAGGCTCTCATGGATTTTCATATTTATTTCCACCATAAGCTTTGCGTATCGGAATACCAAATTTGTCCCAATGCATTACTTGACCCGCAATGCATGCTCAGGTTTATCAAGCACAAGTAGAGAAACACATAGGTCTGTTGACAGCAAACGTCCCGCTCTTTGCATTCATTTAACCCTTAGCGGCTTGAAAAGTTGACGAGCTTGTGCCTAATTCGTTTAGAACATCGTATCATTGTCGACTGTAATATTATCGTACAGATTGTATCCTATCATTGAGATTATATTTCTGCTTTAAGATCTATCTTATATTTGTGATTGGAAAAGTGGCCAGATCGTCTATCTGGATGGCGCCGTCTGTCTACCGAGCTTATGACACAAAATCATCCCAGCCCGCTGTAGATGTCTCGATAGACAGGAGTACAAATTTAGATATAATAGAAACTCTTTAATAGGCTCAGTTATGTCTTATTCGTTGCCTTTTTTTTGCACTGTCGAGCGATTCAATTCGAGGACGATTGTCAAATCTAACTTCAGTCCTTCGGCTGTCCACCTACTGTATCCTCTTTAAGGCAACGTTAATTTATCATGCCTGGATTCTTATCTCCTATATGGCGACGTTGACTTTATCTAATCGTCCGCTTAGATAACCTTATCACTTAGACGATGAGAAATATAACGTAGTAGTAAAGAACCTATCCAAATAGCCTATAGGACAGGTAACTTATTTTAGCGATCTGTCTCTTCCGAAACACTGCAACAGCAATTTGCGAGATAATAAAGACATTTAAAACTGCCACAATAGACACTGAAGATATAACAAAGATAATTAAAGCATGTACACCAAAACGACACCTTACGTATCTACCATTAAGTAATAGAAGACAGTCTGATCTTCCTTTTACCAGTGCTACAAGATTCTACGTTGCTTAAAATGGCTATCATTTCAAGTTGTGGTTTTCTACTCGCGTTTTTCAAGTTGCTCATTGTTAATTGTTCACTGAGCTAAATCGACTAAGAACTTCAGAACTATGTCACACAAGGTTGTCCGTTACTGATCAATATCGGCAAACGTTGTCTTCCTTCAAAGAAACGTATTTGTGTGGTGAAGGACTGCAACTAGGAAAAGACAAATGTGTAACATATTAGGGTAAATTGCGACGCCATGTGATAATATACCACTAAAGTTCAACTTGCAAAATGGCTCCTTCGGCCAGGGTTACTCAGTAGTTCGATCTGTAGACGATTCGGGCTGTAAACACACCGAGCTTTCATTAGCACTATTTGATATTTTATCGTTTACGATAATCGACGGGCATTGCTCTACGCCGGCTTCGAGTATTTGTAAGTTATCCGTTACGTCGAATGCGTCGGGGATCCAACGTTTGATTCAGATGTCTATATTTAATCACCAACACCCACTTATAATGCTGCAAATAACTTCTATTATCGTGTGAACTTATTAAATTACCCAATAGTGTATTTAATTAATTCGTATAAAATTATTATCCTAACAGAAAGTTCAAAAGACGACTAGGGAGACGACAAAGCCGAACAATAAGCGAAAAAAAAAAAACAATTTTTTACATTAACTTCTATTATCATTATATAGATATATTTAACATAGCAGTCGTTCTGTGCTATATCTACTATTATTATTATATCAGGAATTTTTAATATACTATTTATTTTCGTTTGTATATTTCAAATTTACGTATGATTATCCCTTCTTTGCTTTCTACTTCAGGAGTCGCCTTCATCGCCAGATGTGAATGTCAGCCTATCGGCCTATCAACAGAATGTGTGTATATAGATACTGCAATGTTTCAATATAGAGAATCTTTATTGTTATAATATCAAACATTCAAAGGCAAAACAACCATCCATGAAACCCACCTGGGAATGAACGTCGGATATATTTCTCTACGTTGAAGATAATAGAGGCTTCTATGTAACAAAGGGGTACTGGAATCTAATGGTAGCAACAATAATAGTGGTATATTTATGCTTATAACATCAGTCATAGGCCTGTTTCTTGCACACGGTCCCAGTGCGTACTGCGGCCTAGCACGTGCGTATGCTAAAATACGCCACGCTCGATCGGCTGTTACCACCATTGGAAAAACAGCTGATAGGTAAATGTTCATCATTTTCTATCTTAGCGGTAGGCGTCAACTACTTGTTTTTATTCCATCGAGGGTATGAAATGTTTCCATCCCAGATTCAGCGTCTAGACTTGTCATAGCACCGATCGACGTTGCAACAGTATCAACAGCATGGCTATATCGACCGTTAAAATACTACAGTCTCAAATGTTGAGTTCGCATTTGCTGTCCGATATATAAGACCACCAGACTTGAGCTATAGTTGGTACCAACACAGGCCACCTGACAGGCCGTATTTTTTTTGCAAAGATCTTTCTCACATTCGATTGCTGTATTTGCTTGCAGCCATAACTACCCAAAAAAGTGGCTATTTGTCGACTAAGGGTAACTGGTGTCCGACCCCCGACCGTCAAATCGAGAACAAATTGCTCAGGCATCACAGACGCGGGAGGTGGATGGCATATGCGTAAGACTGATGAATGTTACGTTTCAATGCATCATATTGATGACCCTTTACCCATCGAAGCAAGCACGGCATTGGTAACTTCCACTATGTCCTAGGCGACATCTTCACTTTTCGTACTGATGGCTGGCACCTTATGCTGTCAGTTTAAGTCGTGTGTACCTCTCCGGCTTCTTTTCAATTTTGATAGCTCATTCAGCTTTGTCCTGATAACATACACGTCAGTCAATCGATTTCTGATTTATACCTGGAATGTCTCCTGAGTACACGCAATACATTTGCGCAGCAGTTTCGTATTTGTTTTGCTAGCCGCGATATCGAAAAAGACCAGGTCGAGGTGTACCTTTCAAATTGACCCGTGTCGAACGAATGGCCACCGAATGTGACCCAGTCTCACCCATCAGCTCGCTGACCCGAACTGCCATGGCCGACCCGCTCCTGAACCTGCGGCATTACCTATTTAATGTGGACGAGTATTATAAAATCAAGTGTTTATTTGCTAGGTTTACCTAGGCAAATAATTTATTGTGTTAGATCACTGCGTCGAACTCAGCTGCCAGTGCGTAAAACCGAGGCCCATCGACATGCACGCCAATAACTAAACAAATCATCTAGTTCTATGGCACTTAAATTACAGACGAACAATAAAACGCTTCGTATCTAGATGCGGTTGTCCCTTTATTTGTTTTTGGGGAAATTGAGCCCTATAACATTAATTGTTCCCTGTCTGTTCCTCGCCACCGGTATATGGATAAATAGATGACGTTGCCACATCGATAACTGGGCCACTCGAAGCGTTAATCATTGATTAATCTCACGACTGTGAAAAATCAAGCCCATCGTCAAACGAACCACTTCAAATCTGCCAATGTCCACATTAAACTGTCATTAAATGACCTTTAACTTCGTATATAATAAGAATGATGCATGTTCCTTACACTCTGTCTCTGCCCTCTGTAGAGTGGGCAGATATTCTACGATACAAATTGCTTTCAGACGAATTGGTCTGTGTTCATTTCAGTTAACCGGGTCCGCGCAGGTCATCAATGAAGCGGAATTGACAGAGGTACTTGTAAAATACGCATGCAAACAAGAGGGCTCAGCTCATACTGGGTTTTGCATTAATCTAAGCCTCCCATTGGATGCGACTTAGCTGAGTAGTACAGACTATATTAGTAGTACTACTCACTGATTTTACGTTTATAATGTTAACATCTAGCTTTATCTTGTTGCTTTTTAAGGCGCCCAAGTTTTTCCTTTTTATCCGACATCTCTGTATTCTGGCTAATTAGGTTCATCTGGACGCACTATCGAAATGCAACCTCCAGCCCATGAAATCGGACGGATCGAATCACAAAGCTGATATAGTTTACACGGTCGATGATGTACCACCATGGTACCTCTGCATAGCTCTCGGGTTTCAGGTATGCAGCTACCCCGTGTACCACCAAACAATTGAGAACTTAGTGTTTTTTGGGACTTACTTTTCGAGAGGCTGTTAGCTAAAGATGTTTACAACCCGGGAATTAAAGATTTTCATACGTTTAAGGGTAATTAGCTGATTCTGAACAGACAGAAGGACTAATACTTAGATCTGTCTTTTCATTCTAATTCATTTTATGCTATATGAGAGAGCGGTATTAATGATTTCTCTCACGCTTATTGCGTTCATAAACTAATATATCTATATATAATGTTTTCGATGTATGAAAAGGTCGATACATTTATTGGTCTTTGTGTTTGATGGTTAAAAAAACGGTGCAAGTATTTGGTAATTTTTGTGCATTCTTCACTGGCAAAAGGACATCCTCCTCATAGTATCTACAAACGCTACTTTAACAGAAAAATAGAGCGCTGGGTTGTTGAGTCTAATCCTACGATAAAAATCAATTGTTACCGTTATGATTTTCTCTCTTCCGCCTTCCAATTCCAATGACGGTTTTTCAAAGTAGTTACCTCTAATAAAGAATGACTATTTTGTAAGTGATTCGTCCTGCTATCAGACCTTCTTCAAATTCACCTTATGTACTTGTTTGTTTCTACTATGCTTCTTTGGTCTTGTGCGGTTTATGCTGGCTTGATTGCGACAGCATTATCTCACGATGATGGGAGGAACGTTATCATACCCATTCATCGTAGCGCCTAAACTGTGCATCCCAGAAAACCATCCTGCTAGAGGTTCGCTTATTTCTACGATATTTTTTGTATCGGGTATTGGAACGTTGCTTCAGGCTACCTTCGGAGTGAGGTGGGTTACAGTTCACAGCATATATAGTTACTGTAAACACTACAGATCTAATCGATACCGTTCATGAACAAAAACAGGTTTCATCGGTACTTAATGACACATTTACATTTATCGATATTAATATTGCATATATGCTTCTTAAACTAACAACTAAAAATTACACTCTGAGAACTCCGTTCGCATATAGATATATACTGTATAAAATTCCATTTGCAATTTATAAATAAAATAGGCATAAGTCAGTGAATGTCATCATGTATTCAGACGACCTCGTGACGTATGGCAACAGTAAACATCATTTGTAGAAACCCTTAATTGATACGTCTTAGAGGTTGGTTTAGAGGTTAACAGACAAGCCACGGGGTTTAGGTAAAGTAGTTAGCTAACTGTTTTCGACAGACTTCAGCTGAAGGAGAAGGATTCGAGTACGTCAAAAAATGCCTGGGCTTTAACGTCACATCACTGGCGAGCCCTGAATTTTTTGGAACACAGGTAAAGGAGACAGCCTAAAAAGCTCTAGCGTTGGAGCCCTGGATCGAAAGAACCATGGAGATTTTCATTAAGAAAAGTTTCCGCCAGCGCGCCTGCTATCTTTAGAAAGGACTGAACTGGCTGACCGGAAAAAGCTTTTGGGGCTCCGCCCGTCTACGAAAAATCGACCTGTGTACCTGATAGTAGATACCCCACTTTTCGTCGAAGGACATTCTAAGCAATACTCACTGCAGGGGGCATTTTCATAATTCCAATGCATTAGAATTTATGAAGAGAAAACGCCTCACCCTAACCTTAAATTTGATAACGCTAAAGTGATAAATAGTCCAGACTATAAATATATATCTGGAACAACACGCGATGCACTTACCGAATATGTGACTTGCAGGCTTCAGCACTTTTTTTTTTTGGAACTGATGCTCACCACAATCCAAGTGACACGTGTTTTTGTCAATATTGTAATCTACTTTTTTTTCAAATTTTGCCGGGGGCTGTAGTACGGCGATACTCCTGATGATACTAACAGTTGTACGCTGCTTCTAACAGTCATAGGAGTGAAAATACGCATTCGTGCGCCAATAAAAACACACATGCACTTTTAGGTATACGTCTAACGATTTTACTTAACCCTGCGTCAAGTAGACCTCGACTGTGTGTGCGAAATTTTGCAGGCTACCAATTGTCCAAGGATCTACTTTTTCTTTTCTCGTGCCAATTATCGCAATACTGTCACTTCCGAAATGGGAATGTCCATCCCCAGAAGAACTGGTCAATCGTACACACGAAGAAGTGGACGACTTATGGATGCCCCGAATGCGAGAGGTGAGCTTTTCGATATAGAGAGCCACTGGCTATTTGTTATTTAATGTGGGTTCCAGTGTATCTTAGTAATTTGCGTAGTTCACAGTATTGCTTGTGTAAATCTGGAAACAAATACATTTAAAATCTGGATAAACCAAGTCCAGCCAGCAGAAATAAAAGCCTCTGACATATTTTTCTGAAACGCCCAACGGCAGTACCGAGCGTAAAGCGTTTTTGATATATAATCGAACCTAACTACAAAGCTATGTATAAAGGAAAACAACTATTTATGTTATTTATACATCTACAGTATGATATTGCAGTGTACAGTACCGTATATTTTGTACCCATAGATACAAGGAGCGATAATCGGTGCATCCCTTATAGAGGTCGTTGTAGGGGCGCTGGGGTTGGCCGGCCTTCTAATGCGGGTGATATCTCCTCTGACTGTGACTCCAACGATTGCGTTGATCGGCCTCTCGCTTTTCCCTGAAGCAGCAAAGCACGCGGAAACAAATTGGCCTATATCATTTGCGTAAGAACAAAGCCTGCATTGTTACATCAGTGTGTAATAGTTACAACACAGCCAGTATTTGTTAATTAGCATCTTGTCCTTTATCGTAATTTTTGAATTTCATGAGAGACTTATACGTACGTAGAAGTAAGATGACGTATTAGGTATCACATAGTTAGTTAATATAACTATATAATGACGAATAAAAAAATGTTTGATTTTTTCACGTTCTAGAGGTGCGAAGATCCTCGTAGATCAGTTTAGTTTAAATAAACCTATCAGTACTCATGTTCATTATGTCATGGTTTATAATAGATGCACGTACAACTAAAAATGATAGTTCTTGCATAAATTTTGTTCAATGGTGTAAACAGAGGGATATAATATGCATATATTCACAAAGAGTATTAATCCGTTCCTGTGACACAAACTGTGAATAGATGACGATTCCGCAATCCCCGTTCCTGTTTCACGCTGACCTGCTCCGGTGGTATAGAACCGGAAATTATTATCAACATAATAAAAAGTATTTTTGTTTCAGGACCTTTGGACTGGTTGTACTATTGTCTCAGTACCTACGTGATGTATCTATTCCTATACCATTCATACGAACAACGACCGGCGCGTTTAAACGCTACGAAGTATTCAAGATATTTCCTGTAAGTGTCGTACATCGTGCAGGACATACTTTGAACTTATATTGCTGACAATGTCCCGGCAAGTATGCATACGTTCTCATGGCACTGTTGTTCTGTTTATTCGCCTTTGTCAGCTTGGTCATGACAATTTATTTTGAAATAGCTGAAACGCTAAGAGTTTTAGCAAAGTCTTGTAGAAACATCGGGAGACTCCGAGAGCCGAACGGTCCAGCAACCGGGTTAGCTAAAAAAAAATGCATCACCGCCATCACATTTAAAAAACCGCCGAATAATTAAATTCAATTAGAAAGGCAGTAAGAAGTTGAGGAATTAGACTATAGTCAGCGGGGTCACCAGCTCCAACAATCGAGAAGTCGTCAAGCTGGTTCTGGCAGTATTAACAAGTCGAGAGTTGACTCCAGTACGTAATACCTTAATTCATCGCAGTCGCTCGCGAAGACGATCCTAGAGCTTAAAGCGAAGTTGGACCTTAGAGAGAGGCTAAAAATTACGTAGCGAAATTGTGAAACGGCTGCAAGTCTAGCGCTCTTTTCCTCGTAAACCCTGGATAGTATAGACATCCTCGTATTAATAGAGGCTTGGACAGTTAGTCATTTTAACTGGCTATGTTTTTAACTTGTACACTACCCTGCACTAAAGAACAATAAACCAGGCTGCCCGGGCGGAGAGATCTCCGTTTTTTACGACCTTAAATTACGCGACCGCGCGCCGTACTAAACGGAAAATAACGTCATTGCCTTACGTGGCCAATGGCTAAGTCTGGCATCAGCCTATTTTCGACCGACTAATTCTGAATCAACGCACACATTAGTGGAAAGATTCCTCAGTGGACTAAAAGCGTAATCCTCTCATTTTGTTTCTTCTATGTTATTATTGGCAGTTTCAACTCCCGTTTGGATCAGCTGAACTCGAGCCGCATGACGACCTGCCACGACGTGCTCGAGGATTATGCTTGGTGGGTGATCGACCCGAACCTCGACATTAATTTTCTTAGGATATGCAGGGAATTCAGTTATAGATACATTTTGTGACGAACGTACCCAGAAATAAGGTAAAGTTTCAAAATCGAAATCATTCATTGTCAGAGGGCGCAAGCATTTGTGGTCACGCAGCGATGACGATAGACCTGACTGCCTAAGTTGTACCTGTGCGGATTGTCAAACGCAAGCTGCGCCGTGACACCTAAATGAATGCACGTTCTTGAACGTACTCGCGAAAGTTTCCCCATACCTGATGTGGTGAATATCGAAACTTATGCGTCGCATCTGGTTGAAACTTTCCAGTCTACAGTACAGCTTTTCCGCTTTCCGGGAAGTACAGGCCATAATTCAACAATGCTTGCAATATTGCACAGAGAACCCAGATGACTTCCAGGTCTATGGTCGAGGTAAAACTTTATTTTTACCCCGTAGTCTTGTTTGTAAGATAACCTGCCGAAAAACGTATGAGTCACAACAGTGATTTGGACGGTGTGACCCCCGTTTGATCACCAATGCAGAACGTCGACTGAACAATGGCCTAACGTTTAGTGATCTGCCCGATTAGTTTTTCGGCCTACGTGAGTCACTTTTCGGAGATGTTTGCGTCAAGGGAACGATGCCACGCTCTGTGCCTTTTTTCGTGATATTTTTTAACAAGACTTCACTTTTTTTTTGACAAGGCTTCCCAGTGAACTAACGCAGAATTTTAAAGGCTTACGCGACAAGAATGGCGCTAGATAGAGTCTGCAACGAACACCTCAAATGAACCGTTGTTTTGGCACCCTGTCAGACAGTATTATTTAATAAATGTTTACATACGAGTACGCTTCCATCCCAAAGGGAATATGCTACCGTATTAGTAACCCTTAAAACCTAAATTAGTAGTTTCTAAAAAGCGGGTCGCCCCGCGTCTTTCGCGCCGCCACAACAGCCGGGAATAGCGACGGAAAGCGTTTGTTATAAGCTGTGCTTCGACTTTCTTATGAAAAGATTGGACAGCTACCCAGAGAGCGTGGACGCCTCCTCCCAGCTACCCAGTACGCAAAAACGCTCTACCGGTAAGGACCCATACCGCCGAAAAAAAGTACTGGCCACGTCCGCAGTCCGTTAGAAAGCGATATTTGTCGAATTTAAGGTAGCTTTCTGCTCGGCGCCTCAGGAGATCATGCTCACGCTGTCTAAAATGAGCGTGCCTCTATGAATATGCCTAAGTCGCTCTGAATTTTACAAGAAAATGGAATAATTATCGACGGTAAAGTGGCCGAACTCTCGCCTTTTACACAAATAATTGCTTGGCTTAAAGGGACAGCCTAATCCTGCTCTTATATCTCATCTTGCTGAAGGGCCTTCCTGATCGCATAAGAAGGTCGAAAAAGTCAGTCGAAGTTATATGCAAGCGATTTAGTAATATGCAAGTTTTGCCTATAGCAACCTCCAGCCCGTTTTCCAAATTTAGGACGGACTGTAAGCTTGACCAGGACAGATGCGATTAAGCGTCGAGAAGATGAGATAGAACAGCGCCCACTGACGTTCTGCTAAGTTGCCTCTTGCCTATCTATAAACCGGTTCCCCATCTAGAACTATTTTTTACCGTCAACGGCCGATACCGTACGTCATCGAAGGATGCAGAAGGTTTTTTAGCCATATGGGCGATTAAATCGCCTCATCGCTTGTTTTTGGCGAACGCTTTGACCTCGTTCGGCCTGAAGCCGGCTTCGATCGCTGTTGGCAAAATCGATAGGAATTTCATTACTTTGGGTATGATGGGAAAAAACGAATGAAAAGGGACAAATCGACTAAACAGACATGTTACCATTTGGGTTCCGTTTGAAACACTGAAAAGAACCGAGTTTCTATTAGCCTAACAATACATGTAGATGCTCTCAGCGCGGATAAAATTGTGATGGACGTCATATGGCTCGTCGGCCCCGGGTACCGTCTTTAACATATGTAGCAAATAGCTTAAATTAGTTTTATGAACACAACAAGACCTATATAACTTATACGTCACAAGTGCTTTAAATGGTTTTAAGCGATTCTATATATTTTCTATGATAGCAGAATGCCATGTTGCCGATCTGCAAATACACGTGAAGTTCTTGACAAGCAAAAGTAAATGAAGAAAATTTGATCTATTTGGTTGTATTCATCACATTATTCCCCGCGTCTGCGGCATTATTGTGATCACAATCAAGCCTAAGGGAGAAAACGACTATGTTTCTGCGAAGTTTTTCTTTCCGTTTTGCTCGTTATGCCTTTTGACATATATTATATTTAGTTATTATTAATATCGAATATATCGAACCTGCATGCAGTGTAGCTTGTGGAAACAAGGGCACGATGAGGGTAACACTGAAAAGATAACCATCTAATGTATTCTTTTACATTTGTCATTTGTACTATTTAACCGCAGGTAGTACTGACCATTACAACAATGTGGTTCATTTGTTTCCTGTTAACAGTTTCGAACGCTACAGACTTACGAAACCCACTTCGGACAGATCTTAAGAACGGTTTGCTCGACGATTCGCCTTGGGTTCGCGTACCGTACCCCTGTAGGTATCTCTGTGGGACACGATGGTAGCTTCGTTTCATCCGAATTCAAAGGGTTCACTATGGAAAAATACGCATAAAGCACCTTCCGTTCTTTTAGTTTAAGCTAAGCTGTATGAAGAAAACGGACCAAATTATTCTCCTACCCATCTCCTTTAATTTTGTGGATAGAATCATTGGGTATCGCTTATATTGCCGTACGACGGATGTACGACTGTTTACCAATCGAACACCTGTACATTCACTCATCAGACATTTCGTTCATCACCCAGTTCAATGGGGCGCGCCAACGTTTAGTTTAGGAGGAGTCGTTGGAGTTTTTGCTGGCGTAATCATCTCAGTGATTGAATCAGTGGGCGATTACTATGCCTGCGCCAGGTTAGCCGCGGTTCGTGTACCGCCAGTGGACGCTGTGAATCGGGGCATTGCCATCGAGGGACTGGGTTCAATCATATCAGCTATATTTGGCTCTGGATGTGGGCTTACATCATACAGGTTAGTTATTTGCATACCATTATAAGTTGCAAATTAATTAGAATGTTACATAACAACACAATATAATGGGTTATGATTTTTTTTTGTGTCGGATTCACATTCCTCTTACTTAGCCCTGTTGGCCCAAAACAGAATTTTCGATCCGTACAAACGTTACGTCTGTACGAAGCTCTACATATTGATTTCCTACAAAACTCAAAGAAAAAGGCATTATCTTTTTTTGTTTTCCGACAAAGCAATCACATAATGACAGTTCGCCGCTGACAAATACAAAAGGCTAGATGGTAAATCATTTGTAAGCAGTCAGAGGCAAATACCATAGATCTGAGATTTCATCTCCTTCAAGAACAAGTACCGATGCAGTTCTACTTCTATTCAGCTATGGTTAAGCAAGCTCTGAACTCCTGTTCTCCATATCATCTTTCATTCAGCTTGGCCACTTTTTTTACTCATATGTAAATCTATGCATGTGTCATCAATCGCGATTCAGCGGGCATAAACAAATGCTGAGTACATGTATCTATATTCTAGATTCAGGCTTGTTCATATGTTTTTAGTGAGAATATCGGTGCTATCGGCATTACTAGGGTGGCCTCTCGTCGCGTTATCCAGATGGGCGCAGCCCTAATGGTGGTCTTCGGTTGCCTTGGAAAGGTCTGTACGCAAGTTGCCACTGATTACTAAAGTCCCGGAGAGTGTATATGATGGAACTCGAAGTTCATACACAGCAGACGTTCGTCTTCATTTAGCACTAACCGCGTGTACACAGATTCGCCAGTACGGCCATTCTTTGTTGATGTGCATTTTGCGCCGAAGTGACAGCGCAGAACTTTGACTGAACGAATTTTTATATTGCATAAAAAAACGTCGCTGTTATTAGCTACGAGCATTAAGCTTATGGCATTTATAGCTTCGCCAAAAACAATTATTTATCGATCTCTTTCGGCAAAAGGATTTAGTCCACAAAGCACAGAAGAACTCATATTTACGATAGGATAGATTCGAACTATCCTAACTCTTGTTATGTTGAATGAAAGGCAATGAAAAACAACGCCTAACGGAAAAAAATACCATCAAAAACATATTTGATAGAGTGAAGTGTAAAACGTCTCACCTATTCCTTTGAAATAGGCTAATCGTCATTAGCATAGAGTACCACATTTATAGGACCACACAAAAATCTATTGTTCATTTAGATTTCGCTATGTGCCCTCGTTAACCGTCACTAGAATTGTTTTGCTTCTGTTCTCATTTTTTGCTATTTTGGGCGTATTTAGGTTGGCGGTTTATTCGTATCCATTCCTGAGCCAATCGTTGGTGGCGTATTTATCGTGATGTTTTCGGTCGTATCCTCGGTCGGCCTATCCAATCTTCAGTTTGTCGATCTCAACTCGTCGCGAAACCTTTTCATTTTAGGAGCGTCACTCTTTCTCGGACTGTGTATCCCAAGCTGGGTAGCGGATCATCCAAAATCCATTGATCTTGGTAAACGTAGAAATCAGCATTAGCGCCAATTTCAACGATTAATTATATTCGTTAAATTACAAAACTTATTTTACATTACATAATTATATAATGAAATTGCTAGATTGGAACAATGACGTTTATATTCCACTCTGCACTGTTTGCGAAGAACGTAATTTTGCTCCAGTTAGGGTCGTCTTTAGAATTAGTTAGTGAGCGTAAATTGGCTAACTTGGGAAAAACCGCTTGCGTCTACTTGTACGCAGGACGCTTGTAGTCGAAAACAGTACAGAGACATTTTGTCTGATGCGCGAAACTTCCCTGCTGACAAAAGCGTCGAGAGAGAGAGAGAGAGTGAAAAAAAAGCAAAAGTATATATATATATAACACGTACTAAAAAACCGACAATCTAGATAGTTTAACGGTTGCTTAATTTCAAAATTCGCTAGATTAGCGGGTAACAGCCTATTTGGTAGGTGTGGTTTTGAGTTACGATTCGTTATTGAGGTGTTGTCGAAACACAGTCCCACAGGGTACAAGATGAAGGATAGTGATATGTGCGTGTAAAGAGCTAAATGATTAGCGGACGTTTGCTAGTTTTTCGAATATGCACACCTGGTGCAATTGAGTTACACTAGTCTATTTCGTATAACTGGATAGGGATTATGTGTTTTTCAGGGAACGAAGTTTTAACCCAGTTGGTTCGTGTTCTTCTCAGCACATCAATGTTTGTTGGAGGATTTGTCGGAATCGTACTAGACAACACTATTCCTGGTAACAAAATTGTATATGCGTTGCGGATAAGTCATTGAAGCATGCTTATGTACTTTATATTTATATAAAGTATATAAGCATTTTATCTAGACTGATGTCCTACAGATCTTTTCGTTGTCGCGAACTAATAGTTGTTGGTTGCCAGGCTTATACTTCATCTAGAAGAGCTCACTATTTCGATGTATTTTCTGCTATTTAGGAACATCCGCAGAACGTGGCCTTAGCGCGTGGGCTACTTATGGCGAAGATGGCGACGATGAATCAACGCGAAACGATAAGAAATGTTCGATTTCAACCTACGACCCACCATTTGTTTCTCGGCTCCCTGCTTGGACCAAGCAATTGCCGTTCATGCCTGGCTATAACAGGAAGTCGCAAACAGCCATAGTAGCGGCCACGGAGTCAGCTGTTCCTCAGCATGTTCATAAAGTCAATGAGTACAATGGTTACAATCATGATACAAAGCTTTAACGCCAGTCAGGGAAAAAAGCATCGGCCCAGTAGATTCTCGAGACGAAAAACAGGCGACTCTTATCTATCAAATCCCACCTATCTATAGATAATTGATAAACCTGAAACTAGATATTTTTTTCAACAGATATTCGGTATCTAAATGTAAAAAACATCACGCATCAGCGCATTGTATATTTTGAATCTGAAATTTCGTGAATTCGCACGTATTAAAACAACTAAATGGCTACTTCGATTGACTAGACAGTGCAACAAGGGGTTGAAGGTGTTAGCAATGGTCGTGATAGTGGAAGCTGCCCAAAAAAAAACTAAACCCTGGAAAAACTTGAGCCTCAACGGTTGCCGAAGTTGGATCATACACTTCGTTGAAAATATCGACTAGTGTAGATGCTTGAAATACGACAAATACGGTTTTATACGCTCCGCGTGCGTGCGAGGAACTAACCACGAAAAGCTACAAGTGACTATATAAACCATAAGGCTCACAGTGATGTATTAAACTATCGTAGATAAATAATTACGTTTCAATTTTAATAAACCTCGCATAATATTCATTTAAAACAAGATACGGAGTTAAAAATCGACAATAGGGCAAGCGAACTTAATCTGAATATTGCTCAGCCAATATTAAATTGTAATTATAATGGAGTAAACACAATGGACTTTAGCATGTGCAGTTCCTGCTAGATAACTTCAGTGAAACTGCGCCGAAAAGTTCACAGACATGCTCAAATTGTCTGATCCACTGATTGATTTTACTGCGTCACTAACATGTGTACACATGCTTTGGGCTCCCCAGGGTCTGTATAGACGTTGCATGTTTTCCATATGTTACGTATTACTAACAAAGTCTCAAAGGTTTTTTCTGCTTGATCACACAACGACTTCCATTCGCTCACATGTAGTGACCCAGTGGCAATAGATAATCGTTACTGCAGTATGTCAGGCCAACGTTTAGTACGATTATAATAAATTTCTTGCAAAGTAGGAATATGTTCTACTACTAATTCCTCCTAATTAACCTATCGATGTTGCATTTAGTGCAATTTTTAAGTGAATTTCGGTTTTCTTTGTATATATATACACACACTTATTCGAAATATATAAAAAATATCGTAGTGGCAAGACCTAGCGAGCTGAATACCACAATAGCGTGCTATGATTTTACTTGTTATGACAAAATAGTTTTCAAAGAGACTTTTGACTTTCTTCGAAAGGCATTTGTGTGACCAGTGAAATGTGACGAAGGAAAACATTGAACTAGATAATAAGTTGGTAAACATAACCTTAGTGTTAGCGAATCTGACGCATGATCTTCTATTTTTACATTTTTGTGGACGCGAAAAATAGACCTGCGAGACAATGAGTATGACAAACAAAGTGGGAAAAATTTGAACAGCATTCTAGGTCAAAATGGGCACCTTTACGCAAAAAAAATTGTGACAAAAGTTCAGAAGGTTGGTTAGTAGGCAGGCAATGTAAACGACAGTACAAAAACGGGAAAATCAAAGTTTCCACCAAGCTGAGGAACAGAAGACAAACAAAGGTCTACGGTGGCTGCATCTAGTCTCGACGGCCTAGTTACCGAACCCGCGTAACTATTTATAGCAAAATCATCCAAGTTCATATTGTCTTTGACATTTACGCTACGACCTATTTTGAGCTGGCGACTAAATTTGGGTCGCCTGCTCAAAACAGAATAGTGATGTACTTACTTGGCCGGGCCACTTCATCAATATACCCAGGCCAGCAATAAGATCACTGAGAATTACCCGCTGTAAAAGGAACCGATCGCAATGTACATTTGAGTTTGAAAATGAAAACCGCAACAAGCAAATATCACAGACCACAGATATCTCGTTCATGAACTGAACGGACGACAGATTGGAGCATGTGGGAGATATCGGGCAAGTGATTTACGGTATTTAATATTGATGTACTGCTACAAGCCTACAGTGGAGGCAGCGAGAAGTCGAGACGTAACCTATAATTCAATTTGCCATTGGCGCTATTTAGACACCAGCGCTACTTTGGCTGATCTTGGCTTTAAGAACTAACTCTCACGAGCAGACGCAATGTGTGTATATATATATAAAGCATAGTTACAATGTTGGTCAAATGTGTTCGTCTCTGAGCTAATGTGTTATGTTTGTGACTATTTGGCTAGATAGGCTCCGATACTGAGGCATTCGAATTAGTGTACCAGTAGACAGCTTATTAAGTGGACATATTAGATTGCTTCGATCCTATTTTTTGATGGCTTGCTAAAATACCCGATACAATAAACTCGGCCGCCGATTTAGAATTTGCAAAATGATCTACTCGGATGAAAAGCTCCTTGAACTAGTGGTACCTAGAGCACCTTCTAAAAGTGGAGCCAGCAAATTTACACACAGGATGTAATGCCTTCCGAAGTTAACAGCTGTCATGGGTTTTATGAGCTGAGATACAGTGTTAGCCGACTGGCGGCCAGCGTAAAATTAACGTTTCGAAGGAAACCGTCGGCAGCGAGAACACTCGAAGAGGTTTGGCAACTTGAACGAGAAACGAGAATCGTTCGTTTGTCCGAAGCTGATGAGCGTGTCCTTTACGGTCATGTATCGTGACCGACCAAGACGTGCCGGCACGTTGCAATTATGCCACGGCGGCAACTATTTTCGAAATTAAGCAAAGGCACCCAACAACGTGTTAGAGGAATGACTTCGAATGTCACAATATAAACATCTTTAGCACAGCATTGGTACTCGGAATAGCACTTAAAGGTGTTTGTCTCATACCGTAATTGCAGGTGCGTGCGGAGCAACAATTTCTTTGTTCTTCAAAGTGTCAATACGAATTTCGTCCTCAAGTCAAGATTTACGTCAATCTAAACGTCGACTCCTCCACGTACCCTCTCCCAGTGTCGTTATGACATTCTCTTTTACATCAGTGCTCTTTGACCACGCAAGCATCCCGTATGTTGGGGCCTTTCGAGTTACAGTAACTTCTAACTGGGTACTAGTGGGTACAAAGGTCGGAAGAACAGCTATTCTGCATTTAAAAGAAAACAAGTTTAAAAAATCTCGTCCTCACCCTATTTGTGGAGCTTTTCCCTGAAAGTCATACTTGCTAATAATGAAATCCGTGCTACGTGGTTTTGCGTAGCGTATATTGTATGCTCTTCCAGTAGATGTTGGTTGTTTACCTTTTGATTGGGTAATGCACACACTTACCCCGACTGTATTTACAAATTGCATCAAGTCTTTAATCGGGTCCTCCAGTTCAGTCTCAGCTCACTTTGTTTTCGATCAATGTGCTACCATGCGTAGTTTATGGCGAAAGCCAAGACTAAACATTTACTTTACTTATTACTACTTACTACTAAACATCAACTCACTCTGAAACCTTTGCGTACCTACAGCAAACAGCCTGCTCACTAATAAGCATATATAAGAAACCATACTCCCGACGAGACGTCATGGAAACAGGATGCATGCAAAGTAATTGCATGATAATGTCAGAGGGCGGCTGAGGTCATGTATCGGAGGTGACTAAATAAAATGGGCGTGTTACAACGAAGCGTAGCCGAAGGCAATTCGACGTTGCTTTACTTCTTCGATCGTCAATCCTATGAGATTATTTTTCGATACGTCTTGGTTTCTCCGGTCACGCGTTTGGTAAGAATATAGAGGTGTGAAAACGTAATGAGAAAGGGGTAGTAGTACATTTGATTCAATCAAATATTAAATAGTTAGATGTGGTAAAAAAAAATGTTCATATCTCCATGAGGAAGGTTGAAGCTGAATGCCATCGCTAGCCTTGGGTGGCACAGAGGAGACAATCGATAGCTGAGCTCTTCTACGCTATGAAGATTAATATTTTTTGACACAAATGAAGAGATAACGTTTTAGATTATGAAAGGTTAATAATTTGTTGAATCACCAGTTGCTAGATTTTGACGTAGCACGATACGATACAGTGACAAAATACGCTGTGGGAGTTTGTGCGATAATGAATTGCTTGGTAAGCTAAGAAATTGGGGCGCAGGTTACCGAGCTTGAAAATGGCAAGAAGGGCATGATGAATAAACAAAAAAAAAAAGGATATGTCAAAAAAAAAAGTCAATTCAATCAAATCATTACACTACTGAGTGCCGTAATTTCTAAAAGTTTACATTAACTAGTTTACCCTTTATAGCTTTGGGGTATAAGCTAACGAAATCTAACGTACATGACATATTGTTATTGCTCCAACACACATTTCTAATTCTCTCTGTTATATATAAAAGTATGTAGTGCTTAAGATTTCGTACCCTTGAAAATAGCATCGCAATTTTATGTTGTATATATGTAAGTTTTCCCAGTGACTCGATGAGGTATGAATCAGTGGCTGCCACTCCACTAACCTATTAATCTATAGTCTATGATACATACACAGGTTGCTTCGGGTTATCAGTAACTTAAAAGATAACAATAAAGTATTGACGAAGCAGGTAAAGTTGAGTGCCGTTAATATTCGGCACTTTGAGTCGCCACAAAGCTTTTCTTCATGAAAGGCCACTTTGCTTTGTACTGCTTTATGTGTTACTACGCTTCATTCTTTGGCCTTCCTTCTGTTACGCAGGGGGGCGGAAGAAGAAGGACGCTGATTGGTTAGCCCTTTAAGAAAGCCAAATGACAGCTCAGTGAATGCCTATGCCTAAACAAGAAATATTACTTGGTCGCCCCTTCCATTGGTAGAGTGCATCTGAATTTTTTGTCGAGATCACTTCCGTCGTTGTCGCTGTCATTGGGACTATACCTCTTTCTTGAGAAAAATCGAACGTGGCAATAGTCTTGGCTAGGTTCCCAAAAACTGGCACACTTGCTTCCCCAAGCGGCTCCTTGATCAGGTAACTTCACCGCGAAAAACGTTAATGTGAAAGTTAACGAAAATGAACGTCGCTTTCATAATACGGCCTTCGACAGCGTACGTTTTCTATCTCTCAAAGATCTGTACAGCGTATGAAGTGTGGGTTCCGTACAGGGAAATCATGAAGACAGATGTTGCCAGCGTCCAGACTGTTTGTTCTGTACATTTTGAATCGTAACTTTGGCGTTACATGATCGCCATCTCCTTTCCATCAATTCCAATAATATGGTTTTCCAGATGGTATAAAAAATTAAACGGAGACCATATTTCCGGAATAATTTGGCTTCGGGTTATAGTTCTTAATATTTATATTGCGTAGTTTAAATGTATTTTTTTCATGGCAAACAGAGTGGGGAAATGTTAACTTTAGTTAGGTATCGATAGACAATAAGCTTATAGTCAGGAGGAATAATTTCTAGTTTAGAAAGGATTACGCTCACGATTCATGTAACATATGTTGCTGCTTTCTCCTATGCGGAGGAAATATATAGACGATGTTTTTTGTTAATGGCAGTCCATTACACCACGTTTCATTACAGAAGTAGGGCTGAGTGGCACAATAGCCATATTTTATTCAACAGATTCATTATTCCATAAAACCTTAATAGTATGACATTATTCAGAGGGGTTGGATTTAGTGTTAAAGAGTGGTTTAAAACGTCGTACTTTAACGGATTTTATCCTTAAGCTCAAGTAGCTATTTTCAGAGAATTGGTATAATAGAACAACGAACTTCTTTAAGAAAGCGTCGACAGCAACGCCCCAAGCTATACCTCATTAACACATATTTTAAGATTGTTTTTGAATTGGCAGAAAACAAGGTGTGCACGTTACCATGGTTTCCGTATCAGATGTAAACGATAGCAGCCGTATGTATCAAGATGGAGAGATTAACTAGGAATACAAACGTCTAAATTATTTAGAGAACGGGGCTATTTCTATATTTCCTCCTATTTTCAATTCCAGAGTAAAATACATGGCAAAGAGAGTTGGCGCAAGCGGTGATTCTGTGATAATATTGACTTAAATCGTATGCTTCTTTGCCCAAAATCTTGCTATATATCTCTATCATCGATTTCACTATGCCATGGCTAAGCCTGTTGAAGACATCTCAATCGTTAATGTTCATACAGCTTAACTAATGATATCTAAGGTTTATTGTTTGTTATTATGTACACACGCACATATATATATAGATAGATATTGTAACAACGACTGAGTTCCACCTCTGGAGGCTTACATACGCCTAACTTTTTATGTACATATAAATGTATTCTGGTGCAGGAGAAATGAAAAAATGTCATTTCATGTTCATTTCATGCCTAAATCCTCTGTCGCAGAGACTAAATTAGCAAAGACATTCTGAAAATTCAGTATTAGATGTTGGAGTGAAAACGGGAAAGCAGGTTAGCACGGTGAATGTGCCAGTGATTCCTATTACACCTGTCTCGTGGTGTTCCGGGTTACTCCTACTAAAGGCAAAGGGTTTTTCTTTATCAGGAAGTTGGGTTGCTTCTTACATAGCGCAAGTGCCACCCTCTCCAGAAACTTGTATAGTGTTATGTTAAATTCATAACCTTAAAAGCTTTTTTCCGGCCCACCAGGCACATAATTGATTTTTGATTTTGTTGGAACTTTACTTCGGATGTACCGCGGCTGGCTCGCTTTTCATCACCCGGTAATGGTACCTTGTTTGATTATTCCATTATTGGATTGGAACAGAATAACTTTCAAGTTGTTTTTAATGTCTCCTCTCCTTGTTACTTGCCCAGTGTTTGTTTGTTTGTTTCTGTACCACCATTCAATGGTGCCCTATCTCGTTAGTAAGTCCGGTGCAACTCGTTAGGCAGCAAGCAAAGTCTGCGTCGAGTTCAGGCTTGAAAGGTCGAGGTTTCAGGCAAAATCGAATTTTTCGACATTTTCTACACATAATTGAGAGGACTTTTCGAAACTGATTTGCAAAGTTTAAGAATAGCATCCTAAAACCGTAGGATGTACCCCACTCCAAGATCATTGCCGGCACCTTAGAAAAAGGACGGCCGGCAAAAAATCATGAATCGGATCAGAAAATTAACTATGATTCTGGACAGCCGCTTTAGATCAATAAATGTCAATAGTACGTATTGACACGCTTCTACACAAAATCGTCACCGGTGACGAAGAATGGTATTTTCCCATCGGATGGACAGCTTTTAGATAAAAGAATGGATAGCTTTAGAAGGTACGCTCCAGTTCAGCGTCAAGCCAGATTTCCAACCTGAGAAAACGATGATTTGCATTTGGTGCCACTAGGAGGGTGTTAGATAGTGAAAAATACCTGAAAAGGACAAAGGCCTCAAGGATTTCTGTGCGGGCTAGTTGGGTCCAGTAAGCGAAACCTTCCAACCGAACAGATCCCGTGCACACAGCAACTGAAGCCCCCTATAAAACAATGCCAGACCGTAAATGGCAAATACTGCGAAAGCCGTTCTGCAAAAAGCTAAGAGAGAGATTTTTTGTCACATTCACGTTGTTGTTCAGACCATTTGTGTTGAATTATGAACTTCACCGATCACTGGCAAGTGATTTTTACTAACCATACATAGTGGCAAAGGTTCAAAACCTGGCCGAATGGCTTTTTTCTACATTAGGCTGCTAGATTTCTGGCGGAAAAGAATAAATTGAAAGTTACGATAGCTGAAAGATGGGAGAGGGTCGTGAGACTTACAGCAACTACGTAATAAATTAGTTCGTTGCTAAGTTTTTTTTTTTGTAAGACGAAATAGCATTTCTGTTTCAGTGTTATAAATTGCCCTATACAGCAAACAGACTCAAAAACGGTCTGCTCAACAAAACAACAGCCAAAAAAAAATCCGAAGATGTTTCTTATGCTGGAATCTAATGCGCCGAACCCTGTAGCAGCAACGCTGACCAAAAGATCTACACTTATTTAACCATTAATAAGGAAGATTCGCCTAAGCGAAAAGCGTCTTGAAATAAAAAAAGGCTCTGAACGAGACGTCGTAAGCCAAGATATTACTATGTCAATCGTGTGACTTAGCTGTGCTCTCAGAAACAGTATTTCTGCAGAACGTATTCGTCGCAATATCTAGGAGTCCAAGCCTAAGGAAGGGAGGTGCACAGATTTGTTTCTGAGAAAAGTCAATTTTCAATTGTCATTAATTTTTTTAGCGAATTGATTCCATCGATTTCGGTATCTACTCGTTAACATTCTGATCACAACAAATAACCGTCCTCCTGAACGACTGACATTTCGCACAATATCGCAAGAGCTGTTATAAACCGCATATATATATATATATATATATATATATATATATATATATAGTAGCTTCTTTGCTACTTATTGCTTCTTCTTTTCATCTTCTTGGCTCTTTGTCCAAGTTTGAGAATGTTACCTAGAATTTAGGTGAACTAGCCATTTTTCGAGAACAACAATCTTCACACCTCATTTAGCAACAGCCTACTCATTTGTAGCGGAAACCCGCTAGAACATATTATATATATATATATATATATATATATATATATATATATATATATATATATAGAACTAAACGATTGCAAAATTTAAAAAAAAATTCTAAAATGTAATTAAAATACAACGCGATACCCCATCTCTATTGCGATGTATAACAAAAAAATATTACGATTAACTTGCTATTTTTGGCTATATTTTACTACCTACGTTTAATTATTTGTACATTTTTTTTTAAATGTTCTTCTTTATCCTTATAATTATACAATTTTCTAGGATAAAAATTATTTTTATTTTAGGAAATCTTGCTTAAAAAATAGCGCACCTATTTCAGAGCCTAAGCGCAAGCTAATGTTCGTATAGCATAGTGGACAAAACCAATATTGCAGTCTTATATTAAAACTATAACAAAGTCTTTCAACGAAAGATAAGAGTTGAGGATCGCTAGCGAGCAGGTCGAAAAAAGGCGGGTTAATAATTCTGAAAAAATAGGCCTAATAGGGATATCTGCAGGATGAGCTAGAGGACTTTTGACAGTTGAAGCGTCTTCCTTTCACATCGGTTATGGTCGCAGGAAATTGACAAATTATTTTAATCGAAGACGGATTATCACTGTCATCCAAATTCCACTTCTGTAATCCTAAGGTATTATGGTACGAATCAATAAAAGCATTTGAATGGC